AATCGAAGTTAGTTTTCTACAATAAAACAACTCCTACCAGCGCCCCTGGGGGCGAAACACCTATCGTCTCATCCCCCTCCCCCAACTTCCCCCACTCCTCCCCCCTAACTTCCCACCCCCTCTCCTGTTCCCGGAATCCGTTAATGGCCACCTGCCACAATAAGCTGTGAGGTTCTTAAGTTCCCAAAATCGGTGCATTTATTATCAGATTCAATTTGAAAATCGTTAAGTCCGAGACGTAAAAACCATCGGATTCGATTTTTAGGTATTAAAATTGACTTTTGAAATGTGAAACCTGACTCACTAACTACACATACTAGCCCTGTCATTGCAGCTAATAAAATTACTTACCAAATACAGAACAACAGCAATCTACTAGAGAATAAAGGGCCCAACCCTTGCCTTACTTGGGCTTCATTTGCTAAAACGGGCTATTTTAAACTAATTTGAAACTAACATTTGACCAACGTGGCATCTTTGGAGCAGCTTAAAACATATCGACCATCATGCGAAATAGCAACAGCAACAGTTGAATATCTGGAACTTAAAATACTTATTATAAACAGAAGTCTAGCAATTGCTGCAAAATCACCTAAAATCCTATTCTAAACATTTACTCCTAATAAATCCCTTCATATGGCTTATGATCATCATAAGAAAGGAAAACATGATAGGAATAAAGCCTTTTTTTTTTCGAAAATATTTAGATACAACCAAATCAGCTTAAAAAGAATACTTAAAACTCTACTAGCTGCTAATATGTCTGTTCACACGGATTAAGGAATCACGCGACTACAAAAAAAAGCTAGCAATAACCGTTTTTGAATATATTCGGATACAACCGATTCAGCTTAAATCATACAAGTCGGTCAGATAGAAATCTTAACTATTAACCTTATATACTGGGCCATTTTTTAGCGTTGTCTTCAGCTAGCGCTAACATGCCAATAAATTAAGCTTTCTATCTAGCCGAATTTTATGATTTAAGCCCAACTAGATGGATCCGAATATTACCGAGCAAAGCGAAATGTCGTACTATCGTTGTACACAATACAAATTCTCACAGTACAAATACAAATTACAAAACACAAATACAAATACAAACACAATACAAATTACTTTCATATTTTTATTATTTTTGCCATTATTTATGAATTCTGTCAGTTTTTATCTTCTGAAAAATTTTTTGGAAACTTCAGACTTTGGAAACTTCAACTTTATTATTCAAAAAATTTTTATTATTTTTTACGACCTTTCGTTACTGTACGCTTGATAACTTTAACGAGCAGACAGATATCAAAAAACCTGCGCTTTTTTGTTAATTTTGCTGTAATTTATGACTTTTGTTATTTTTATTATTTGAAAAATTTTCAGAAAACTTTTGTTATTTTAGTTATTTAAAAAAATCTTAGTTAAAGACTTTAACTTATTTTATTACCCAAAAACTTTCGCTATTTTTTACAGTCCTTTGTTACAGCACTTTCGGTAACTTTAGCGAGAAAACGTGCGTATACCAAAAGGTCATAAAAAAGCCCGAAAAACGAGAGGCCAACACAGTTCTAACCCGGATAACAACAGTAAAGCATTCACATTAAAAATATGAGTGATTACCGAAGTAAAAAAAAAAAAACGAGGACAAAAAATGATGAAAATCGAACCTATGTGCTCGATACTGTACTGCCGTACCACTCAGTTTTACTGTATCGGCAACAGATTTGTGCAGTGTAGCAAGCTTTGATAAAGCATCCTCCCGTAATCGACTGGCGATTGCTTCCTCATCATAAGGTTGCCCTTCCTCAACTTCTTGCTCGGCCTGTAATGCAAAATGCTTGTCTTGTGACCTCAGTTTGAGGAACAAGGAATCAAAAATTCAAAGCAAAATGCTCTGCATAAGAGATAAGAAATAAAAATTTAAGAAAAAAAATCAAAAAACCGAAAAAAGTGGAAACGCCAGAACTTTTCTTACGTAATATTAGACAGGATAGAATTAGGGTGCCCTTTCATCCTGGGTCGACAGAAAAATATGCTTCGTGGGCGATCTCTTAACAGATGGTTTCACGCGGAAGACATATTATTTGCTTTCAAAATTTTACGAATTCAAATCTTTCAAAAAAAAAAAGAAAAAACTACTGCAATTAAGTTGATGGCTAGGCGATGCTCCATCAGTCAAAGCGTCTGGAAAAAGCTGTCAAATGCACGGTTGGAAAAGCGTACGATGCGAATTACAACCGATCCAAATATCCAAATAAAGAAGTTAAAAAAGACTCAAAAACCACTGCTACGAGTAATCCGTATGAGTACAAGACCTGCATCATTGTTGCAAAAAAAAGGACTAGCCTTAACCAAGACCTTTAAGGCTATCCTACGGGTAAAACTACCCTTTGCCAAGACCTCCAAGGCTATTCGATGAGTGAAATTACCCTTTACCATGACCTTCAAAACTACCAACTGGATGAAACTGCCCTTTACCATGATCTTCAACACTACCCGATGGGTGAAATTTCCCTTTACCAAGACCTCCAAGACTATCTCACGGGTAAAACTACCCTTCACCATGACCTTCAAGGCTATCCGATAGATGAAATTACCCTTCACCATGATCACCAAGCCTATCCAACGGGTAAAACTACCCTCTGCCATGACCTTCAAGGCTATCCGTTGCGTAAAATTATCCTTCACCATGGCCACCAAGACTATCCGACGGGTAAAACTACCCCTTACCAAAACCTCCAAGACTATCCGATGGGTAAAATTACCCTTTACTATGATTTTCAAGGCTATGTTTTGGAGTGACTGGAATTACTAAAATGCACCTATACACCAAGTACAACCGATCTAAGCCTTTCTGTCCAAAGGTTAGCTATTGTGCGCAGATCACCGATTTCGCTGGCTTTCTAGAAAGATCACGGATCAATGCGCACTTATCGATCAGGTTGCATAATTGATCGCAATGCACAAGAAATTTAAATCAATCTAAGCCAACACAATCGGTAGTTCCCGGGTAGAGCGTGTAAGCCCAGTATGTGAGCTCATCAATCGAAGAAATTCAAAGATCGCATCGAGCTTCTTAACGCTATTTTGATGTATTTGTGGCTCCTAATAAACTGATATACACATTCCTCGCATATATCACAGGACAAAATACTAACCCTCGTCTTTCTCCTTTCCTTTTCCATTAAGCACTGCAACCGTCATACTGCCACGAGGTCTTGTCACGGTGTTGAGTTAAGACGTATATGACTTAATGAACCGAAACATCTTATCTCACTTTTACCTTCTTTTCTCATACTGTTCTTTCATGCTGTAATCTATGGCGCCTTCGCCATTTAGGCTATCAAGGTCAACCTGGTTGTCGCAGTCTGCTTCTTCAGGTTTTATCCAATATATTCCCCAACCTTTTCCAGGGGCCTCGAAAAATCGGGTGTGAGCAGGAAAATGATACTTCGTACACATTTCGATCTTCGTCCTTTTATCGACGAGTATCTTAATATCAACGATTTGGCCGGCTTCATTTCTAAATAGCTAGTTGGTCTGAAGTTCCATCATCCGGAGATCAATCTGCTGCTCCTTTACCCCTCCCCCCCCCCT